CCGGGGACCGGCAGTCACCCCCGCGGCAGTTCGGGACCCAGCCCGATCCCGTTGCGCATCCCCCGGGCGGTGCGAGCCCTGCCCGTCCCTCGCCTCTTTCGGGGAGATATAGCCGCCGGACCCTGTTGCCAGATGAAGAGTTATATTTTTACTGATTTTTGGTAACACTCATCCCACTGGGGACACGCTTCTCGTCGGTCCCTCTTCAGACGCCCTTCGGTAGCCGAAACCCCGTGCTGCCGTGAGCCCAGCAGTGCCTGGCAGAGACTGCGACCGAGCCCTTGCTCGGCCGGAGAGGATGGGGAGAGGAGATGGCTTCGCTCCTGGGCTGGCAGCTGTCAGACGGGTGCTGGTTCCTCCGATCAGGGTGTTCACATCGGGCCGCCCCGCCTGATGCAGCAGGGACCCAGCTACTCTTGCTGCTCATTTTGCTCCAGCTGGTACTGGCGGCAGCTCAGGGGCGTGGAGCTGGCTTTTAACTTTTATTTGAGCAGCCGAGAAGTTGTCTTTAAAAACTTGAGTGTAAAAGTATTGTAGACTTTGACTTTGGAAACGATGGCGAAAGTGCAGCAAAGCTTTGGTAGAATGGAATGACAGCTACCGCTGTTTATAAGCAGAGGATGGAGCGGTGCTGCGCTCTCCGCGCAGATCTGAGGGCATTGCCCAGAGACCGACACGCTTCCTTAGGCAAAACAAACCATCCGAGAACTGCGGTGAGCTGGCTTCGCTTGCTGTGATGGAACTGGTTGGTTTTTAATTTCTGCCTGGAAGCTCACTGTGCAGGCTCAGGCATTGCTGGTTGCAGCCGTGGTGAGGAGTGTTTTAATGCAAAGAATTTGTCTTTCTACCTAAATCTACATGAGCCCTTGGGAAGCAAAATCCCAGGTGGAAAAGGTCTGAGCAGTGAAACTCACACCTGAAGCAATGTAGTGTGCTGGGCATCTGCCTGCTGCATGGAAAATGGAAAGGGGGCGTTGTTCACAGGACACCGGAATGCCTCAGAATACAGATCTCACAGGTCTTCGTGGCGCTGAAAACTCTGTTTGAAAACTTGAATATTTTTTATTTTAAAGTTTCCTCTGGTTAGCTAGTCCGTGAGGCTTAGGTTGCTGCCTGTGAGAGGTGTGCTCGTACACTTGCTTCATCTCTTGGCAGATGAGGTAAGGTCATGCGGAGTGGGACTGCTGGTGGTGGCCGGTGCGGGGAAAGCGGTGTCCGAGGAAGAGAGGGGAGGTGTCTGTCGGTGGGGAGGCGGTGTCTGTCTGTCGGTGGGGAGGAGGTGTCTGTCTGTCGATGGGGAGCTGGCCGAGGTGCGGACGGGGCACCCGCCGCTCCCAGCGCCGCCGGGAGGGGTCGCTGTGGGCGCTGCCGCTCGAGAGGCGATGCCGTGAGCCGGGGGCAGAAACCATCAGTACTGTCAAAACAGACGGGATTAACCTCAAATGTGCCGTTCCGACATAAAGCACGTCACTGACACAGTCAATAACATGTAAATATAACAATACGTATAATATTATATGTAACTATATATAACTATATATATATATAACATAATATATATATAACTATATATATAGCATATATATAAAGCACGTCACTGACACAGTCAATAACATGTAAATATAACAATACGTATAATATTATATGTAACTATATATAACTATATATATATAACATAATATATATATATAACTATATATATAACATATATATAAAGCACGTCACTGACACAGTCAATAACATGTAAATATAACAATACTTATAATATTATATATAACTATATATAACTATATATATATAAAATAATATATATAACTATATATATAACATATATAATGTATAATATATAAATATTATATATATATAATATATATATATAACAATAAGCGTAAAATATGGTAACTTGCTCTGCTAAAGCAATTTTTATTTTTTTTTTCAAAAATTTTAATTATTTACCTGGTCCATTGAAGGAAAGGATTTTTTGTTTATGATTTTTAGATTTTACTCGGTTTATTCTTCTCAATGTTTGCTTTATATTTTTAGCATTTTTTCAGTAAAAAAACCCCATATTTTTGCAAATGTCATTTTGGATTCTTTCTTTTTGGAGAAAAAAAGTTTGGGATAAAGAGCTGCTTTTCATTTTCTGTGTCTTCTCTGAAAGTTGCTTTAAAAGGTGTACTGGTACGACTTTGAGGTCTGAAAATTACAATGTTGTGTGTTTTAATCTGTATGTTTAATGTTTGAAATGTTAACACTTATAGGGATTTTGTGTTTATAGAGACTTCCAGACATTTGGACCTCTGACTTCTTTCAGTGGTGCCAAGCATTCCTCACACCAAAAAACTCTCATTTTTTCTGTTCAGCTGAAGATAACTGGAGATAATCAGGTGTTACCTGCTAACTTTTCAGTGAATCATGATTTTTCCTTTGTTTTTTTTTTTTTTTCCAGTGCCAAGTCTTTTCATCCTAGTTTTCCTCCAAGCCTTATCTTATACATTCTCTAGCTAAAAATCTTACAATTTGTGTTTGCAATAATGTTTTAATTTAATAACTTCTTCTTGAGACTGTGTTCTTTAACAATATTTAATCTTTTCTTAGGGAGGAGAACGCAAACCATTAATGATCATGCTACACCGAGAAAATGATACTTTGGGATTCAATATTATAGGAGGACGACCCAATCAGGTAATGAGAAAAGTAACTGTAGGTGATTTTGTCTGTATCTACTTTTATTGTATACGCTGTTAATTAAGAGTGACTTTTGGTGACAGTAGGTATGGAGTCTATTCTTCAGACAGAAGAGCTACTTATTATCAGGTATAACTGGAGTAATCATTTGGAAGGCGTTATCTCATGAGAATTGTATTATTCTCATTTTTTTGGAAGGGTGTTCACAGTGTTTTTGCTTTAAAACTTTAGGCTGGTTTACACTCAGTTCCCATGCGTGTAATAAATATGTATTCATGTAAACTGTCCAATAGAAATCTCTGGGACTATTTCTAAAAGTCATTATTGCAGGATTAAGCCTTTGGAATTTTGTGAAACAGCTTGCCCTTTTTTTTTTTTTTTTTTAATTTCTTTTCATTTGTAGAGGAGAAAATTTGCTTCTGAAGCTCATATAGTTTAAGCACATGTCCTGTTCTCACATGCTTGCTTACAGTTTTTCTTTATGAACTGAAATGGTTTTCACCTATGCTGTATCTTAATCTCATCAGACTACGTTTAGAAAGCTCATTGCAAACCATAGAATATGCATAAGGATCACTAGCCCCCACTTAGAATATACAGAATATACACATGAATATGCTTGATTTTTTTTTACTTCATCTTTCTAAAAGCATTAATCAGGACTGTCATTGCATATGAAGGGTAAAGAAACCTGTTAAACTGGAAAATTAATAGTTGATTAGAAAGGGTTGGTAATAATTATGTGCTGATCAGGTTCTTAAGTGGGAGAATTGTAGCCTTCTAGTATTGCTGAGGAGGGGAGTAGGACCCTGTATATTAGTTTGGTAATCTGCTCTAAAGCTATATTTAGTGGTGCCAAAGAGTCTGTTCCCATTAGTCCACTGTCTGTGCTGCAGACTTACTGTTCCCTGTGGGTGAATATGAAGACCTGCAGTTATCAGATGTTGGGGCTGTAAATCCAAAGCAAGAGTTTCTTAGATTTTTCTAGTGGAAGGATGAGGCAACAGGTGGCTACAAGTTAAAATACACATGCCATGATTGTATTAATATTTGGAGTATTAATATTTGTAGTATACACTTTATATATACTGTAGTATATATATTTTTGGTATAATATTTGGAACAGTAAAAAAATTCAGGCAACCTTTAGTTTGGATTTCATTGTGACATTTCTTAATTACATCCATAGGAGAACTGCAGGGAAAAGGGAGCATGTGCTTAGTTTTCTTGGGATGGCAACTGAGCTTCTTTAAAGGACTTAGATGTTGACAGTCCATGTGGACACACCATTTCAACAGTGATATGTGTCATGAACTGTCAGGCTTTGACTTAATATTTTGTAATTTTAAGGGGTAAATGATAAATATATGAACTATATAATGTGTCTATAGCATTGTGTGTTGTGAAAACTGCCAAATAGAAAAAAGCAAATTAATTTCTTTTAACACTCATATTTGGAGAAAAATTGGTGAAGTTGTGAGGCAGGGGTGGATCTCAGGTGGCTTTCAGTCTTTGAAGTTTAGTTTGGAAATTTCTTTGTGTTTTGTTCGTATTTTGACAAATGTGACTACCACAGGCATTTGATTGGCATTTCTCAGTATCAGTGGGAGACTCAGTGTATTTGGAGCTGAGGATAGAACAGGAAAAAATGCTTGAGTTGACTCAATATTAAAAACACAAAGTTCTTCTCAGAATATTAAATAGTGGAACAGGAGTTGTTAACAAGACAAAAAGAGCTCATGAAGGTGCTCTGTACATTCAAGCTGTCTGGGAAAAAAGTGCCCTTGGTTAAAACATTGGTCCTTGCAGCAGAAGAGCAGAACAGTGATGTTTCCATATTAGTCATGTGCTTGGGGATGTGTTCTTCATCACATGTTATTTGTGTTTTGTAAGTACAATGCAGCTTTTTCCATTGGAAAGCAGGTGACTCTTAGTGCCTTGGGTAATGTACATACGTACTTTCTGTTGGCTGTGTTTATTTTCAGTCCATAATAGGCATCCCCACTGTTTCCCTTCTACCTGAAGGAAGGAGGAGAGGAAAGGAACAACTCATCATAGGATCATCTTTTATTGTGTCAGAAAGGAACGTGCTTCTCATAGGTGTGTTTCTGAGAGGTGATTCATTACTCTGAGGGAGCAAGGCTGCTTTGATGGGCCCAGCTCTGGCTGGCTGGGGGGACTGTTCCCCTGAGGACACCACGTCAAAGCCAGGCTGGAGGGAGGTGTGCTGCAGGCACAGTTGCTGCACATCCCCTGGGCTGTGTGACATGGTGCTGGAGCTCAGTACGCCTTGTGCTGTGTTTTCCTGTCAGGAGTGCTGGGTACCAGCACATGTAACCGATGGGGACCACAAGCCAGACTGAAATACCCTTTCTTTTAACAGGCCATACATTGCTTTTGAAAAAAAGCCAGTGAGATTTCTGATGGAAAGAAATATAGTTTTTATATGGGTGAAGGTGCTATAATCTAGATTTTTGTTTTCTAAGGTTAAAACCAAGCCATGTCCCTCTTGTATCTTCACTAATGGCCTGCGCTTCTTTTATCAGAGTTTCACTTCTCACTGCTTAGATGGGAGGTCAGTGGAAGTCTATTTGTTCATAATTTCAAAATATTTCTAGAACTGTTGCTGTTTTTCCGTTTTGCTTAGTACTTGACATGTATGAGTCTGTGTGAAAAAGGGGAGAAAAATACTTTATGCAAACATAGTCTGACTAATATTGTGTTGAACAAATATTTATTTACCTTCAATCTACCTGGGTCAAGTTTCCAAAGGACTGTTGCCATATTGTGTAAAGTATGTTTTACATATGCCTTTACAGTTTTCTTAATAGAAAAAGTTATAAAGTGTTTTCTCCATGAGTGTATAGGACTTAGACTAGAAACCTGTGCACATATGAACTGTGCTCTTGGTCAGGGATTCACCAGTCACAGAAGGCAAATGAACATCATACAAACTGCAATCAAAAGCGTAAATCAGCTGGAAAAAGTTTCCTTCAGTTATTGCTAGCTAAGTTACTATTTGTATAAGCACTTAAAACCCTGTAAGGAGGCAGAGTCTGCTTGGCATTAGTTCTTTATTAGTAATTATTTAAAATTACTTTTAATTATCATGTGATGAAATAAAGTAATTCCATCATGTACAACATCATTTATATTGTTGCAGTTGTGCCAGATAACTTGTCTGTTTTAAATTTGACCTTGTGTGAGTTGTACTTAGTGTTGCATAGAGATCAGTTGGAGATGGATTCTCTTTTTGTCCACAGCTCATCTGTATGGATTTCATAGTTGAGCAAGTTCTCAATCTCCCATGTGAATAGGATTTATGAGGTTCAACAGTTCCAACCAAATCCTCTCACTGTTACATGCCAGCTAACTAATGTCACTTTGTTCCTTGGAGCTTTATTTTCAAATGCAGTAAGGCACTTTGCAAGCAGCAGTGCTGCAGGAGCCCTTTTCCTTCAGAGAGAAACACTTGTGTATCCATTTTAATGAGTGTCTTCCACTGTGCATTTATGTGCTAGTCACTGGCTGCTGTGAAGTCTGAGGTTTGCTCCAAGTATTTTAGCTGGGATCGGATTACTGTTGCACGCTGTGTCTCATTTGGACTAAAATAACCGGAAGTAAATGGATAATCTTATAAAAATTGCTGGAATAGTTCATTAATTCTGTCCTTTTGATTAATAACTACTTTGTGTTAAGCAAGTTTAAAAAAAAAAAATCCCAAGGAGCTTAATTCTTAGCTAGAAAAATGAGCTGCATATTTCATGTGGATTTACATTTTTCACTGCTGCTGATTTTAGTGCCATCTCAATTTTTGTACTAATGTGGCCCTTTTTGCAACTTCCCTATTGCCTGGTACAGAAGAATCAGGAGGAGTCTGCTGAGGGAATTTATGTGTCAAAGATTTTGGAAAATGGACCTGCAGACAAAGCAGAAGGCCTGCAAATTCATGACAAGATTATTGAGGTAAGAAAGAACCCACACCAGTGGATTAGTCTCTCATATTATCAGATTAATAAAGGATTTGATGGTTTTCACCCTAAGTATGTTGTAATTTTCCTCTTTTTCTGTGTCTGAACATGATTCTTGTACACTGAACTTCCAGCTTGAACATTTCATAGAATTAAAGACATGAGATGGATTTTTCCAACAAGTAATAAATTTACTGGTGTTGGGATTAAGGTGATCTAGGTGAAGCAAAGGTGTCAACACTTAAATAACAAGCAATAGAAGCATTTTGTGTTTCTTTTCATTAAGTTGAGAAAAAAGACAGATTAAGTTGAGAAAAAACTAAAAATACTGAAAATTCACAGGTTTAGTGAAACTGATTTTGTTCCGTGTGTGGACTATTACTTTCACGGCTCTGGGACAAAGCAGAGAAGATGGCTTGGTAAACACTGCTGTGAAACTTCCTAAGCAATTAGAGGAAGTACTTTCTACTGAATGATCAGAAAGAGATCATCTATTGTTCTTACCTGGATCACTACAGCACTTTCCTGGTCGTGTAATATGTTAGCCTAGAATTTTGAGTTTGTTCCTGCATTGTATGCAGTTTTTCTCATAAAATAACTGTAACTATAAATAAAAAAAGAGATCAGTAAGTCTGTTGGAAGAATAGGTTGATGTCTAGCATACTTGTGTACCTGTAATTAGCCCTGTAAGAAATCTCCAAGGAGCAGTTTCCAAGAGTGACAGGAACAGGCTCCTTAGGGTGCTGCCAGGACAGCATCTCCCATCTCAGCTCTGACACATGCCGCAGTGACAGCACGTACTGCTAGCTGCTGCGCTCCTTTAGGCCACCTCACTCCAGCTTTGCAAGTTTAGGGGAGGCTTAGAAGCATGATGTGAACTTGCCAGTGGGATGGGTGTTTGAACGAAGACACATGAAACTGGGGGATTGGAAGACAAATGCAGAACTCTGCTGCTGGTTTCTTGTTAAGTCCCTGTTAAGGACTAAAAGCGCCAGCTGCGAGTGTTTGAATGCTGGCATTGCTCTTAATGTTGGGAGCTTAGAGCAGTGTTTGGAATCAAATGAATATATTTTCTTGGAAGAATAAAGCTTATGCTCTTAGCTGGCAGATAGATGCATTTCTAGGAGACACCAAGTGGGCTGTGCAGAACTGAACTTGCACAATATCTTTTATTTCCCTAAGGTATACAAAAGCTTTCACATCCAAATTTTTTTTTGGATCAGCAGCCTAAAGCTGTAAAGATCTATTTTCTTCTGACATTACTATTTCACTTCCCACATTGTGTTTTGGGGTCTTTTTACAGACTGACCAGCTATGTAGTTTCATGCATTTGCTCAACACTTCCTGCTTTAATTTAATGTGCTTTTATAGTGCATTGGTTTTTTTTAAGACAAAATGAAGTGTTTCTGGAAGGAGGAAGAATAAAGTCACAAACCAGCATTTATTAAATGTGATGTCATATCTCAGAATGTCACCGTAATTGATGCTTAATTTTTACTTGTTGAAAAATTCTGGCTGCATAAAATCATACTGAAACAGATTTCAGTTCTATGTGATGTTATAGATCCAATCTAGCATAAGTATTCATAATGCTCTGAATGGAGCACCGTATTAATATCCAACAGCTTTGTAGGTAACTTTTGTATTCAGGCAAGAATTTAAAAATATTTTGGGCTAGGCCAAAATTTCCAGTATATGCTTCCGTGTTTCAAAATTTATTAGACCAAAATAAAAAGAGGAGGAGAAAAGAAGTAATTATTCCTCCAAGCTAGATACGGGAAGCAGCTGGAGTCAGAACACTGAATTTTTTTATTGTCCATTCATAGCTATCACTGCCCTCTTGCAGTGGGATGCCCTGCCAGCTCTGATGTGGTTTGTTGTGGAAGAGCATTCTGAAAACTTTTGCTGTGAGGAAATAATCAGGGTGGTGTAACTATTTCAAAAATCTTGGCAGATGTATGGAATATGAGTTTTGGTGAGAAGTTGATAGGAAATGAGACTTCTTATTGTTTGCTTTTCACTTTTTTGCTGATCTGACCTAATGGGTGATATTTTATGGGACCATTCTTCAGTAATCAAGAGCAGAAGGATCTGATATTTGAAGAGCCTTTAATAGCTTAAGTCATTTGTTTGGCAATGGGATGCCCGGGGTGTTTCTAGCAATGTGTATCTAATGGGATAACGGACAGAAATATCCCGTTAAATCAGAAAATCTGTTCTCAAGGCATATTGCTAAATAAAGAAGGTAATTTGTTTCAGTGGTTTATCACATGTTTAGCAAAAATTAACTGCACATGGCTGACTATGGGGAGTTGTGCACATTTCAGATGACCATCTCGTGAGCAACCTAGTGCAGCGAATGGATTTCACAGTCCTATGGCACTGGCAGATGGAATTGAGAGCCGAGGCTGGCAGACATAAGTAGTGTTGCCTTTTATTTAATATATATGATTATCTATGCAGCAACATTGCCAAATAATTAAGGTATTTGGATGAATTCCAAGGGAAAGAATCCAATTTCTTTCTTGAGGTGTTTATTCTAAGTGTAAAAGTGCCACACAAATGAATTGAGTTGCTGGAAGTTTTTGAGAGCAACTTGCCCAGGCCATAGACCCTCTGACAGTTTCATTTGAATAAGGTTGGTATTTATTTGGGCTTTGCCCTCAGAGAAGCATATTTTGTGCATGAGGACATGAAAGCTGAAACAGATGCCTGTGTGCTGGCAGGGTGGTGGTGCTTGAGAGTGACAGGGTGACAGCTCCAGATCCCCTATGTCAAGGGACTGTTGCTCTTCATGGGGGGATGGTCACAGGACCTTTGCTGATCATTTTCACTCTTCTGCTGAAGAACAGGTTTGAGGCACAGCATTACCCTCTTCATTGAAGGTTAACACCTCTGTGAAAAAACTGCTTGTTTATGCAGTGTAAGGCGGACCTGGGACAGTGATGTGCACAAGCAACACTTTGATATATATATATATATCCAGGAATATATCCAGGAATCTTATTACAAGTCCCAAATGATCATTATTTATTCATTAATAATAAACCCTTTTGAATTACTTCTATGTAGCATGTTCCTGCAGGTATCATGGTCGTCTGATGCTTCCAGAAGCTTTTATCCAAAAATCTAGCTCCCTGAAGTTGACAATGCATCATGTTTTCAAGGACTACAAGTGTTTGCATTCTAAATGCAGAATGTAAAATGCATCTCTAGATGCAGCATTGATACCTGTGACTCCCAACATGAAACCCTTGGATATGAGCAATGGATAAACCCACCCGAGCTCTAACTTTTGGGTCTCTGTCTTCTTCCTTTCCACCCTGCCTCTGGAATCCTGTCAAGAGAAGAGAAGCTGCAAGTTGTGCATGGGGCTCTTTATTAGTCTGTGCTAGTTCAAACAATTTTGTTTGCTTCTAGGAGAAAACTATATCATTAAAGTATGTTTAGAATGGTTCACAGTTATATGGCGTTTTACCTCCCCCTCACTGCATGCTAATCATTCCTACTGGGTAAATTCATTGTTCATCTCTGCTCATGCTTGATTTACCTCCTCAAGGTGGCATAAAACAGCTATGATCCTTAGCAATGTTACCGATACAAACAAGTGCTTCACCTGCTGCTTTTTTTATCCATACTTATGGTTCTGAGCAGTTAATGCTGAAAGCAGCTCTTTCCATATGAAGGAAGACTTGTATCTCAATTTGCAGTCAGCTCAGCTTCACATAAGTATGGCACCAGAGTGGCCAGATCTCCAAGCACAGTACTTAATGCCTAGCTACTGAGCTATTCAGATCTATTTATCTGAGTTGGGTTTTTTGTTTGTATGATATAAATTTTACAGAAATTGGTATATCATGTCCCCTGTTTTTAAGTCCAACTTTAGAATTAAAAACAACTCTGTGACTGTTTTTCTCACAGTCTTCCATTCTGCAAGTCACAGTGTCTTGCAGAATACTCTTGAATCACTTCAGTGTTGTACAGAAAATACATAACCAGGACAGAATTTGCAATCCAGGTAGAATTTCTGATATTTTGGGTTTTTTTTTTCTTAAAAAGAACATTATTTCATCAATTTGAGGAAAAGGAGCAGCTGTTAATTAACGCTGCCAAAGTAGATTTGCCAGATAACAAAAAAAGGAATGAAAATATGCAAATAAAAAGGGATATGTTGAAGTCCAGAATATTCATATATGGAACTGTAAGCACATCATCAGCTGAAAGGCTCAAGTGTTTTTCTGTTCTTTGCACTGCAAGGAAAAGGCTTCTGTTCTTTAAAGTGAAGTGAGAATATTGGCCCTTCTGCATTTTAGCCAGTGGATTCTCATGAATTAAGCAGGCATGATGGAGAAGAAGGGAAAGGCAAACATTTTTAGTCTAGGATCTTTAAGTCTGAAAAATAAGGAAGATGCATTTATATGTCATGACAGTGTATTTTGTTCATGCAGCCTGAGCTCCGTAAGTGGATTATAAATAAGGCTTCATCCTGTATTCCATGTTTCCCTTTGTTCTTTCCAGTTTTTTGGAGAGTATTCGCACAATGGCTTTGAAGCACATGTCAGCAAAGCCAGTTTCAATAAAGATGAAGTCTTAAGGCTTATCCTGGCAGAAGTAACTTACATCTGCTAAGTGCCTACACAGAGACTTTTTTAACTATTGCCAGACTGCTGACTGTGCTGTGTGTCAGTCTTGTGATGTTTTATCTTCTGCATGTTTCTGTCATTACACTCACTATGTTGCTCAAGCAAAATCTTTGATACTAGTCATGTTTATTTGGCTAAGAATCTTCAGTGTCAGATTATGTCTGTAGAAGTAGTGAGTCTTAAAATGTCTTGCTGGGATCAGAGCCAGATGATTTGGGATGACTTTGAAATAAAGCTGCACAAGATGTGGCAGTAGGATCTGTGTGGTAGCTAAGAAAACTTAATATGGCTAATTTTAGTGGTGTAGGTTTCAGTGCATCTGAATGTGCCTTAGCTATATTAAGTTCT